ATTTTGCCCACACTGCAACAATACATAAAGAAAAGGCAAATCTGAAAACCTGGGGGAATGGCATAGAAAGTTTCAGAAGGTGCAGGGTGCAGCATACCACCTGTTGGCATGTATCAGACTTATACTGCATGACTGTGCTATAGACAATCCTTACTCATGCACTCCTTTAACATCTTAGCTTGTAAGGCATCGGGTTGTTTACATTTAAGAAATCAAGTGTGACTAAGGTTTTTAAAGCTGTGTTTAAGAAACAGTGCAAGGCAACAGCATCACCTTAAAACAGATTTACCTACCACTGCTATCCATTAAGCAATTCCCAATACACAGAATTGCATCTTTAATGGAGAATGGTTAAGCACAGAGGTAACTCACCTGCATTTTTTTTTATTAAAGGTAGCACTAAGTTAATTGAATGTTCTCCATTAATCTGGTGAATTAAATGCATATAGTATGCAAGACAAGACAAAAAAAGTGATCTATAACTTATTTAGATGTAAGTATTCTGAAAGTCATTGCTGAATACATCGGTTGAGTTCCATCAGATGTTTGTACTAAAGGTGATTAATGTAAATGAAATAGTGTTTAATAAAATTAAGATATGAAATGCTATTTTGCTGGACAATAAATCAAAAGAAGTTTTCTTCCCAATTCTCAATTCCAAGGGCAAAAATCCTAATAGCATTCATGTTTCCCAAACATAAATACCAACAGGAAAAGGAATTTGGTCAAATATTTTTTCTGAATAGAATACTTCAGAGTAGATTATTTTCAAGGCTCCTCCCTTTGATTAGAAAGGATGCAATTAGATTTCCTTTTAACCCAGGCATGGGCAAACTTGGGCCCTCCAGGTGTTTTGGACTCCAACTCCCACAATTCCGAACAGCCTACATCTATTAGGAATTGTGGGAGTTGGAGTCCAAAACACCTGGAGGGTCAAAGTTTGCCCATGCCTGTTTTAACCCCTCCTAAAAGATTTGACAGACCTTCCTGTCACAAGGCTTTGTCACTATCTACATGATGATTGGGAAAATCGCTTTGTCAAAAGAAAATGAGATTCAGCCTTAAAAGCACATGAAATTAATAATCTTGTTGATGAAAAGGCCTACGAATACAAAAAACAGCCTACTGTATTATCAATGTGATCATGTACTCTATGAATGCCAGAATAAATGCTGAAAAGACTGCTAGGCACTGAAAACGCTAAGACTTAATGCCAACGTCTCATTCCTTTTCTTCTGTATAAATGCGACACGGGCCTAATGTTTAGGCCTCTGGAATACAGGCAAGACCTTTGTTCCATACATCGATGTTTTTCTCCCTAAAGCCCTTGATAAAACTTTCCACTCTCCCCACCCTAATGTTTCCTTGTTCCTAATCTAAACTTTTTGACATACCTGAAGCCCTTTTTTGTTGTTTGTTTGCTTAAAGAAAAACCTTACAGCGAGGAGCACCCCCACCTACAAGAGCTGGCCTTTGGGAGGAAAGAACAATAAAAGTTGTATAGCAGGCAGTTGGGCCTGCAAGGCTGGCAAAAGCCCCGGGATAGCGTAGAATGCTAGCCCCGTACCAGCCAGCAAGGTACCACCAGAAGGGCACGGAGAGGGAGAAGAATGCGAATATCTCTCAATACGACGCGTTATGCAAACAAGCCACAAGCTCTGCTAGTTTGTTCTCGAAGGCACCACCAGCAAAAAAAAAACACCAAGCTGAGCTCTAAAATTACATAGAGGAAAACAATCTGCTCCTCCGGGCTGAATTCGGTTGGGGGCTCAGTCAGGATCCAAAGGATCTCGGTTCACAAACACCCCCATCCTCCTTCCCGTTTATTATTTTTTTGGATCAGCGCTTCTTCCTCCCACAGCCTTTCCAAAAGCCAGGCCAATATGGAGGCAAACAGATCATTTAGCTCTCTCTCTTTTTTTATTGTTGTCCTCAACATCGTCATTTGGCTCAAAGGGAACTGCTTCCTCCCTCGTTTCCCATTGGGAGCTGGGGGAGGGGGGAATAAGAAAGGCCCCTTGGGAAACTGGGTGCTTTATGATGATGATGATGATGATCATTATTATTCCCATAGACGTTTTCAAGGGAGCTCAGGAAAGGGGGGGGGGAGAATAAGAAAGGCCCCTTGGGAAACTGAATGGGTGTTTTATTATTACTATTAATAATTATTATAACTATTCCCATAGATGTATTCAAGGGAGCTGAAAGGGTGTTTTATTATTATTAATTATTATTATGTATTATTATCACTATTATTCCCATAGATGTATTCAAGGGAGTTGGGGGGGGGGCAATAAGAAAGGCCCCTTGGGAAACAGAATGGGTGTATTATTATTATTATTATCATCATGATCATCATTCCCATAGATGTATTCAAGGGAGCTCAAGAAGGGGGAGAATAAAAAAGGCCCCTTGGAAACTGAAAGGTGTATTATTATTATTATTATTCCCATAGACATATTCAAGGGAACTCAGGAAGGGGAGAGGGAGAATAAGAAAGGCCCCTTGGGAAACTGAAAGGTTGTTTCATTATTATTATTATTATTATTATTCCCATAGACATATTTAAGGGAGCTCAGGAAGGGGAGGGGGAAGAATAAAAAAGGGCCCTTGGGAAACTAAAAGGGTGTTTATTATTATTATTATTATTATTGGGGGGGAGTGTTGTTTCTACACTGGGAGGGTCCCAATCTGAAGACAGCTGAGGAAGGGGGGGGGGGGAATAATAAAGGTCCATTGGGATACTGAAAGTGTGGTTATTTATTATTGTTGTTGTTGTTCCCTTAGAAGTATTCATGGGACCTCAGGAAGGAGAGGGGGAAAGAATAAGAAAAGCCCCTTGGGAAACTGAATAGATGTTTATTATTATTACAATTAATTATTATTATATATTATTATAACTATTCCCATAGACGTATTCAAGGGAGCTCAGGAAGGGGCAGAGGGGAGAGTAAGAAAGGTCCCTTGGGAAACTGAATAGGATTATTATTATTATTATTATTATTATTATTATTATTATTATTGGGGGAGGGGTGTTGTTTCAACACGGAAGGGTCCCAATCCGAAGACAGCTCAGGAAGGGGGGGCAATAAGAAAGGCCCCTTGGGAAACTAAATAGGTGTTTATTATTATTATTACTATTATTCCCTTAGACGTATTCAAGGGAGCTCAGGGAGGGGAGGGAGAAAGAATAAGAAAGGCCCCTTGGGAAACTGAATGGGTGGTTATTTATTATTATTATTATTCCCTTAGACGTATTCAAGGGAGCTCAGGAAGGGGAGGGGGAAAGAATAAGAAAGGCCCCTTGGGAAACTAAATAGGTGTTTATTATTATTATTACTATTATTCCCTTAGACGTATTCAAGGGAGCTCAGGAAGGAGAGGGGGAAAGAATAAGAAAGGCCCCTTGGGAAACTGAATAGGTGGTTATTATTATTATTATTATTGGGGGAGGGGTGTTTTTTCAATCCGAAGACAGCTCAGGAAGGGGGGGGGGAGATAAGAAAGGTCCATTGGGATACTGAAAGTGTGGTTATTTATTATTAATATTCCCTTAAGACGTATTCAAGGGAGCTCAGGAAGAGGAGGGGGAAAGAATAAGAAAGGCCCCTTGGGAAACCGAATAGGTGGTTATTTATTATTATTATTATTATTATTATTATTATTATTATTCCCTTAGACGTATTCAAGGGAGCTCAGGATGAGGAGGGGGGAAAGAGTAAGAAAGGCCCCTTGGGAAACTAAATAGGTGTATTATTATTATTATTATTATTGGGGGAGGGGGTGTTGTTTCCCCACGGAAGGGGGCTAATCCGTGTGTCAACCCTGACACCGCCGTCCTTTTGTATGCACCTCGCTCGAAAACCACCGAGAAAGAGGAAGAGGATTACCGTCAGGAGAGTAGGCCCGAGCCTCAGGAAATAAAAAAATAATTAACAGGGGAGAGAGAGAAAGAGAGAGAGAAAAAAGAGAAGGATGGCGGGGTTGTTGTCTCCCCAGGAACAAAATAATACACCCCCTCCCCTTAATATTGTACAAGAGGAGCGAGGAGAGAGAAAGGGAAGGGCTGAATCACGATCCAGTTCCCAGCCAGCCGCCGTTTGGCCATTTTGTCAGCTCCATTTCTGCCACCTTGGCTTCCTTTCCCTTCCAATGCAATTCCCTTTCGGCCACACTTTAAAAGGCCAGAAACAGAGAGAAGGCGAGGGAGGGCCTCAAACACAGGCCTTCTTTGGTCACCCTTCTCCTTCCCCCTGCTTTCTTCTTCTTTCCCTCAGTATCAACAAACGGGAGAGGGGAGAACAAACCACGGAGGAAAACAGGCCTTCCCTCCCTCGTAGCAGTACCTAGTTTGTCCCGACCCGGCCTCCGTGATCGCGCCGCTTTCTTCAGCCTTCCTTCTTTCCTTCCTTCTCCCTCTTCCTTCTCTCTCTCTCTCTGTGTGTCTCTCTCTCGCCTCTTCCTTTCCTTCAATTATCAGCTGAGCCGCAGCACCGACCAGCGCAGCGCCTGCCTCCTCCGCGGGGCCCCTCCGGCGGCGCAGAGGGAGGGAGGGAGGCCGGGGACTACTTTACCCCCACAAGGGGGGCCCCGGGCCCCGCTCTCCTCCTCCTCCTCCTCTTCCTCCGCAGGCCCTCAAGCACCGCCCGCGCTAGCCTCAATCGTCCCCGTCCCCCTCCGCGGGCCTCAAGCGTTAAAGAGAGCCAGGCGGAGAAGTGGATCCCTCCGCCGGGGTCGTCACCCTTGGGCCTTGCTTTTCTCCCCTTCCTCCTCAGGGAGAGAGAGAGAGGCCTGCCGAGGAGTGACGCTCTGTCTGTCTGTCTGTCAGTCCGTCAGTCCACCCTTCTCTCCTCTCCTCTCCTCTCCTCTCCTCTTCTCTTCTTCCCACTCGCAAGAAGAAGGAAAAAGTGGGCCGTTCTCCTTTAAGGCGGGGGCGGGCTTCCTCCCCGTGACCTCTCCGCCGCGCCCGCCCCTTCCCGCCCCTTCCCTTCCCGGTTGCCATGGCGACCGCCCGCCGGCGTCCCAAGATGGCGTCGCTGCTCTCGGACACTCTCTTCGAGGCGCGAGGGCAGGCCCCGGCCCCCAGCAAGGACTTCTACCAGCTCATCGTGACCAAGAAGGAAGTGAGTGAGTCCGAGAGAGGAGGGAGGGAGCCCAGGGCGGGAAAAGGCACATAAGTAAGCGATGAGAAAGGTGTCTTGACGAGCAATGGCTTCAAACTACAGGAAAGGAGATTATTATTGTTGTTATTATTATATGGCAATATAGACACCTATAATCCACTTCAATGTAGGTAATGTATGTTATCTGCTTTAATAATCTGAGGCACCTTCTAGACTGTCAGATTATGGACTACAAGAAAGGAGATTCCATCTGAACATTAGGAAGAACTTCCTGACTGTGAGAGCTGTTCAACAGTGGAACTCTCTGCCCCGGAGTGTGGTGGAGGCTCCTTCTTTGGAAGCTTTTAAGCAGAGGCTGGATGGCCATCTGTCAGGGGTGATTTGAGTGCAATATTCCTGCTTCTTGCCAGGGGGTTGGACTGGAAGGCCCATGAGGTCTCTTCCAACTCTTAGATTCTATGATTCTATGAATAATAATAGCACTTTATTTGTACCCCGCTACCATCTCCCCAGGGGACTCGGTGCGGCTTACATGAGGCCGAGCCCAAAATACAACAATACAATCAATAGCAACAACAAAACAGCAATTTAAAAACAATAAAACAATAACATAAGCATTATCAATAGGACAACACACTTTAAAATCTATGGGAAGGCCAAATGTAATTAAAATTAAATTTTTATTTATTTATTTATTATTCGAACTTATATGCCGCCACTCCCCTGGGGCTCGGAGCGGCTTACAAGAATGGCTAAAATCTAACACAATTTAAAAACAATTTAAAACAATTTAAAAACAGCAATATCAAAAATCAAAGGCCTGTCGAAACAGATATGTCTTACATGCCCTGCGGAAAGCTGATAAGTCCCGCAAGGCACGGACTTCAGGTGGCAGAGTATTCCAGAGTGATGGTGCCACTACTGTAAAGGCTCTGCGTCTGGTTGCTGTTAGACGCAAGGTCTTGACACTGGGAATTTCCAATAGATCTTGGTCCTCAGAACGGAGGGATCTCTGGGGTTGGTAGGGGGTGAGGCGGTCCCTCAGGTACATCGGCCCCAGACCATGCAAGGCCTTAAAGGTGAGTACCATCACTTTGAAAGTGATCCGGTGCTCAATTGGTAACCAATGCAGCTGTAGTAAGATTGGTGTTATGTGGCATCTCATCGGAATTCCCGCAAGAAGCCGAGCAGCTGTGTTTTGTACCAACTTGAGCTTCCGGATCACCGACAGAGGAAGGCCAATGTAGAGGGCGTTACAGTAGTCCAGTCTTGAGATGACCGTGGCCTGGATCACCGTAGCTAGGTCGTCCCTGGACAGGTAGGGGGCCAGCCGTCCAGCCTGCCGCAGATGAAAGAAGGCGGTTCTGCTAACGGCGGAGACCTGGGCCTCCATCGTCAGCAGAGGGTCCAAAAGGACTCCCAGACTCTTGACCAATGATGACGGGCGTAGCGCCTCACCATCCAGGGTAGGCAGCTGGATATCCCACTGCCCGGTTGACCCAGCCATAGGATCTCCGTCTTTGCTGGATTCACCCTCAACCTGCTGGCACGCAGCCATCCAGTAACGGCCTCGAGGCACTGATGGAAACAATCGGGTACAGAGTCCGGTCGGCCTTCCATCTTCAGCACAAGCTGAGTGTCATCGGCGTACTGATAACACTCAAGCCCAAAACCTCGAACCAGCTGAGCAAGTGGTCGCATATAGATGTTAAACAACAGAGGGGAGAAAATGGCCCCCTGAGGAACCCCACAAAATAGAGGGGACCTCTCAGAGACCAGGCCTCCCCTCTCCACTCGCTGTCCACGGTTGTGAAGAAAGGAGGACAGCCAGTTTAAAGCTGTCCCCCTGACTCCAGCAACAGCGAGGCGGTGGGTCAAAAGATTGTGGTTGACTGTGTCAAATGCTGCTGTGAGGTCCAATAACACAAATAATGCTGGACATGGGCGAAAAAGTGATGGGGCGGTTTGTGGAAACATACAAGCAGACCTAAACAATATAAAGTGCTTTGGAGGACAAAGTGCTATGGGATCATTATTCTGGGAAGGTACACTGGAACAACCACTTCTCCAAGCTCCTCCTAAAGACTGCCAGAGTTGGGGCATGCCTGATGTCCTTAGGGAGTGAGTTCCAGAGTCGAGGGGCCACCACCGAAAAGACCCTCTCCCTCGTCCCCACCAATCGCGCTTGCGATGCAAGTGGAAGCTTGAGCAGGGCCTCTCCCGATGATCGAAGAGATCATGTGGGTTTGTATACACTTCCAACTCTGCGATTCTATGATTCTAGGTCAGGGGTCCTCAAACTTTCTAAACAGAGGGCTAGGTCACAGTCCCTCAAACTGTTGGTGGGCCGGATTATAGTTTGAAAAAACATGAATGAATTCCTATGCACACTGCACATATCTTATTTGTAGTGCAAAAACACTTTAAAACAATACAATAATTAAAATGAAGAATTTTAACAAATATAAACTTATTAGTATTTCAATGGGAAGTGTGGGCCTACTTTTGGCTGATGAGATAGGATTGTTGTTGTTGTTGTTGTTGTTGTTGTTGTGTGCTTTCAAGTCATTTCAAACTTAGGTTGACCCTGAATGAGGGCTGAGTACATGACCTTCGAGGGCCTTATCCGGCCCCCGGGCCTTAGTTTGAGGACCCCTGTTCTAGGTATTTGTTTATTTATTTATTTAAAACATTCATATTCTGCCCTTCTCACCCCGAAGGGGACTCAGGGCGGAGCACAGCATATATACAGCAAACATTCAATGCTGGGAAAAGAATTTATATACGCATACATAAACATTAAAAACATTTATCTCAGGATTAAAATACACCATTTTAATCCTGGTCATCAGCGTCAAATCTAATTGGCCTGGTAATCTTTCCTGTTGCTGCTTTATTGCCCTGTCCCAAAAGCTTGGTCCCACAGCCAAGTTTTTACCATCCTTCTGAAGGACATGAGGGAGGAGGGCGATCTGATCTCACCAGGAATGGAGTTTCATAGCTGGGGGGCAATTACCGACAAGGCCCTGTCTGTCATCTCCACCAATCGCGCCTGTGACAATGGCGGGGTGAAGAGCAGCCCCACCCCACCCCACCCGAGGATCTTAATTTCCACAATGGTTCATTAGGTACTATACTAACATGTTATGGAAGGGTTGTAGGTGGTTGGGGTGCTTTGAATGCGATTTTCCTGCTTCTTGGCAGGGGGTTGGATTGGATGGCCCACGAGGTCTCTTCCAACTCTATGATGGGGCGGGAGATGGGGCGGGATATAAATAAAGTTTATTACTATCATTTAATACACAACAAGATTAGTACACAGCAAACAAGATCACTATGCTGGCTTTTGTATTCAATCACGTCGGACACTTCCCAGGTGTCTAGGACTGTGTGATTTATCAGCGAATAATGTGTGCAGATCCAAGTAGAGTGACCTTTTGCAGCTGACAGATGGTAATTTTGTCAATGCCGATTGCTTTTAAGTGCAGGCCAAGGTCTTTAGGCAGTGTACCCAGTGTGCCAATCTCTTTCACTGGTTTGTGCCAGAATGTGCAGTTCTATCTTTAAATCCTCATATCATGTAAGCTTTTTCAGTTGCTTCTCATCAATTCTGCTGGAACCTGGGATTGCAGCATCAACGATCCACACTTTGTCATTTTCCACGATCGTGAGGCCAGGAGTTATTATTATTATTATTATTATTATTATTAGAAATGGCTGAAAATTATTCATCCCCACCCCACCCCCACCCCATCTCCGTGCACATCATTTTTACACACCAGGAGGACTCCAGGCCATTTTAATTTTGGAAAATTTTAAGGCTAGTTTTTGGAACTTGGGGGGAGGGGATAGGCACCATTTCACACCTTTGGGCTCCAGAAGCCCAAAAGGTTCAAAATGACAATGGGAATTCACCCCTGGGGTAGTCCCATGAGTACCCAGGGATGTGTCCCCACAGCCCCAATACCCCATTAGACCTGGGCCTTTCAGGGAGGCCAAGATCTAATGAAGTATCTAATTAATTTGGGACAAAGCATTGTGAAAAGCAGGACAGCCCCCCGTATCTGGAAGGGCCCTTATAAGTCATTTCTTTTGAGTTGATAGTTGGACTCAAGTACTTCCTTGATTACACATTTTAGGGCTGAAATCTAGTACTGAAATAACTTTTGTGACTAAGCCATAATGAACTCTGGATCGGATTAAGACTTGGTTACATGTGGGGTGGAGATTGCAGCTTGAAACACTTTACTGGCATATTGATCTTGCACATTTCTTTAAATGGCCTGTCTAACTTCCAATAAATAAGGGAATAAAAGGAAATGTAAACTGAAGTGTGTACTCTGCTTCCAAAGAGAGAAAATCAAACTTTTCCAAGTATTTATTAATATTTTCCATCAAAAATAACACATAAGATACATCCAAATTTATTATGAATTTAAAAATATAAAAACAAATCCAAAAGTGCAAACTAACATATGGTAGAACTCAAAAAAAGACCATCCTCAGATATCATAAAACCCAGACAAGCTTGTATCAGATAATGTGGTTCTTCATATAATCTAGTCCCAAGTCAAACTTTATACGCTGTAAACAAGCCTTTCAAATGTGCCTGGAAATAGACAGTAACCAGTGTCCTTAAAGAAAAATGTTATTTTTCATTATAGTTGGGCTTGCTCAGTGCTCTGGCTGAAGTATTTTGGACCAGCTATAATTTTCAAAGGCAAGCCCACGTAGTCTATGTTTTGATATTATAAACAGGATGTAATCAAAGGGTGTGTCGTCATGACTGTGACCCATTTCCTGAAATTAATTGACTCATAAGGCTCAGGTGCATTCCTGCCAATTGTCGAAACCTGGATATAACCAGGAATGCACCCAAAATGCACCCAGGTATTCAAGAGGAATGTAATCTGATTAGCCACTGATTGAAACTTTTATCTGCCTGTCATTTTTGTCTTCTTTGGAGAATCTTTGTCTTGGTTAGGTAGAACTTCAGATAT